CGCAATCATCCCACCCACCCACCCGCAACTTGGCTTGCAAAATCTCTTAAGACCGTGACGGTGGGTACCACATGGCACATGGAAACAACAGCGACGCCGACGACGACAGCGACAACGAAGATGACGACGCCGCCGACAACGACTACGACGACACCGACGACGTCTCCAACGACTTCGACGACGCCGACAACGACGACGACGACGACGACGACGACACCGACGACGACGGCGACGACACCGACGCCGACGACGACGACGATGACAACGACGACGACGATGACGACGCCGACGACGACGATAACGACGACACCGACGACGACGACGACGTCAACGACGCCGACGACGACGACGACGACGACGGCGGCGACCACGACGACGACGACGACGAAGACGACAAACGACGCCGACGCCGACGACGACGACGAAGACGACGACGACGTCGCCAACGAAGACAACGAGGAAGGAGGGAGGACGACGACGGCGACAACGACGACAACGACGAGGGAGGAGGGAGGACGGCAACGACGACGCGAACGACGAAGAAGGAGGAAGGACGGCGACGCCGACGACGACAACGACGAGGAAGGAGGGAAGACGACGACGACGGCGACGACGGCGACGAAATAGGAGGGACGACGACGAGACGGACGACGACGACGCCGACGACGGACGACGACGACGACGAGGGAGGAGGAGGAAGGACGACCACGGCGACAACGACGACGGAAACGACCACGACGCCAAAGAGGACGACGACGACGAACACGAGGAAAGACAGAGGACGACGTAGGCGACGACGACGACGACAACGACGCGGGAGGAGGGAGGACGGCGACGACGACGACGACGACGACGCAAGAGCGCGCGCGCACGCTTTTGCTGAAACTCCGTGTATCGAAACCTTGTGTTTTTGTAGGTTTTTTGGACACACGATTTTGAAATCCTTCCGAAACCGATAGGTTTTGAAGGTTTTCGGCATACGCGCGCGACGACGCGCGCGTCTGCACTTCGTCCCATTGTTTGCAGGGGATTCTCGCGACGGCACACGCGCAAGGGCGTTCGACAGATTTCGACATGAGCGCGCGAAGCCCGTTTGGTAGCATTTTGTGAAAATCTTGAAAAACCAATAGTTTCCTTTACATTTCGCAAGAGCTTTCGCGGAAGCTGTTTTAGCAACTCTGTGTTGCGAAACCCTGTATTTTTGTATGTCTTTTGGAAACTCGATTGCGAAATCCTTCCCGCACCGAAGGCTTTTGAAGGATTTCGGCATGCGCGCGCGACGACGCGCGCGTGTGCACTTCGTCTCATTTGTTGCAAGGGATTCGCGAAAAAGTGCTATGTTAGAACAAAAAATGTCACCGCATAGTGTTTTTTACTAGGGAACCTCAGGGGGGGAACCCGGTTTGGCTGGGATGATATGATTTCATATTTAGGATGGACGAGTGTGCAGAATACATATATATATATATGAAGTCATACTATCCCAGGGGGAAGCGAAAAGTCCGGGGGGGAGGGGGGGAGAATCTATTAGTCTTTTAGAAAGGAGAATAAACAAAATGATCGGAGACTGGGTAAAATGGGAAATCGGGCGGGCCAACGACAAAAACACTACACTCGGGCCAACGACAAAAACACTCGGTAGTAAGGACGGGTGGCGAGGACGCAAGACCCTTGAAGGCCGAAGTTGGGATTTGTTGGGCGGCGGCCTGCGAAGCTGGCCAGGGGGAGCGGCAAAAGACGGGGCGCAGAGGCATGGACACAAGGGCACCCTGGAAAAGGCGCGCGACCGTACGATGCGCGCTGGCTGCATACCAAAGGTAGACTCCCCCATACAGTCGGGGCGTTCACCTAAGGAACCCTAAATAAGGAACGAAGCCCCTTGTTTTCATAAGTTAACCTTCGACTTGCAACCAAAAACTTCAGGATAGATAACAGTGGGCAAGGTGTGGAACAATGAAGGAACACCGAGCCCCTCCCCAACGAAAAGGGTTCCTTCTTCAGTGCCCCGACTGTATCTCGGCCAGGGAGGCATACTGCATCGCTCCTGGGCGGAGGGTGGGCCTGGCCAGCGGCGGGTGGGACGTCCAGACCTCGGCGCCCCACGCCTCTCGAGGGCCGCCCCCCGCTGCTCCAGGGCGGGCCGCGCCTCCGCGAGGCGGCCCTCGCTCGCTCGCGCCTCCGCCCTCGCGCCGTGCTCCTCCTGCTCCAGCCTCCGCTGGGGGCACCACGGGGGGGGGGGGGAAGGGCAGGCGGCAAGCAGAACCTCGGCCGGGAGCACCTCGGCCAGGCGCCGAGCTCGGCCAGCGCTGAGCTCGGCCAGCGCTGAACCCCACTGGGCCAGAATCGGCTGGCTGCTCTCGGCCAGGCTGAACCCTGCCAGGCCGGGAGCAGCCTGGTCCGCGGCCAGCACTGCCGAGCGCAGTCGGCCGAGAGGAGCCTGGCCGAGCATCTCCCTGGTTGCCTGGGTCGGACGAACAGGGGCGGGGATAGCAGCAAGAGAGGGGGGTTCGCGAATCGGCTCACGCGGCTGGCTTTCCCAGCGCCTCACAGCTCCGAAGCGCCGATGTGTCGGGGAATGCGCCCAGCGGCAGAGGCCGAAGCAGCTGCGCGCAGCAGGTGTCCCAGCCCCCCCTTCCCTGTCCGCCCCCTTCGTCCGACCTCCGACCCGAAAGACGGGGGGCCATGAACGAGGCGGGCCCTCAAAACTGGCCTGGAGCCCGTGCTCGCCCCCGAGGTTCAAAAGATCAGGGCGATGGCACATCTCAGGGGTGTGCCCTCGGAGTCCGCGGGGGGGTCCTTAGGAGCGGCACGTCAGGGGTGGGGGCTGGCTTCAGGCTGGCGAGCAGTGGGGCCTGGGGCGTCCCCTGGGACCAGCCCTCTCTTGGAGTCCCGAAACGGTGCGGTGACCGACCGTGCGGTGACCTCGGAACCCCAAGAGACCTCACCTCCAACTCCTCCTCCTCCTCCTCCTCCTCCTCCTCCTCCTCCTCCTCCCTCCTCTCTCCTCCTCCTCCTCCTCCTCCTCCTCCTCCCTCTCTCCTCCTCCTCCTCCTCCTCGGTCCGTCACCGCACGGTCTTGGGACCCTGGAGGCCCCTGTCGCCCGAGACGTCCTCGGAGAACGGCCCGAGTCCCAAAACCGTGCGGTGGCCCCGAATCCCCACCGACTCACCGCCCGGTGTGGTCACCACCCCGTTTGGGGACCCCCGATCCCTCCAGGACGCAGCCCTCGGACGCTCCGGAGGGCCGCGGAAGGGCCTCGGGAGGCCGAGCCCGGCGACAACGAGCTCGGGGCCCCCCGCCCCTGCACGCCCCCCTCGCCATCGCTCGGACCTCCGTTCCCCGTGCATGCTCGAGTCCGTGTTCTGCTTTCTCTGCAAGATGGCTCGATGTGCTCCTCGATGGCACTCGCCAAGAAAAGATGCACACGTCCGAGCGGTGCCAAGACCCCCTCTCTTTACGGAGAAGCCTGGTCAACGTCACCCGCATCATGACGCTGGCTTCCTCCGCCTCCCACAGCTTGGACCGGGCGCTACGGTCGGCCTCCTCGGACTCGCCAAGCTCCAGCTCGAGCTGCTGGTGGTCCTCCGCGGCTGCTGCCAGTCTGGTCTCCAAGCTGTCGTGCCCATGCTCCATGCTCTCGAGCTCGGAACGCAGGCGCACCGCTTCACCGTCGGCCGAGTCCGCTTGCCGCGCCAACTCTGCGGCAGCCCGCTCGGCCTCGTCCAGCTCGCCTCGTAGGCTGAGGAACTCGGTGTCCCATCCGCGCAGTCTCTCCGCCTCCGCCCGAAGGCGCTCCTCCTCGCCCTCGGCGTCGGAGGTGTGCGCGCGCAGCTCCGCCGCGAGGGCCGCGTCGGCGGCTGTCGCGGACCTGTGCAGACGCGCGGACGCCTGCAGGCAGCTCAGGCGCTCGCGCTGGTCCTTCGCGGCCTTCACGACGCCCTCCCACTCGAGCTGCCCGGTGGCGCTCCTGCGAGCGTTGGCGTCCAGCCTCGAGTGCTGATCCACCATGCGCTGGCCAGAGGCATCCAGCTCGCTCTGCCTCTCCACCGTCTCCGCGCGGAACGCGCTGGCCTCATCGAAGATCTCGGCGCTGCGCGCCTCCGCGACCGCGAGCTCTCGCAGCTCGCCCGCGCTGCGCTCCTCCAGGCCGCTGACCCGCGAGAGCGCGGCATCGCTGTCCCGGCGCGCCGAGCTCGCCGCCTCGCGGAGGGCCTCAGTGGCCCGCGCCGACTCCTCGAGCCTTGCGAGCAGATCCGCCTTCTCGTGCTCCACCGCCTCCAGCTCCCGCCGCAGGCCCAGCATCTGCTGCTCCGCCTGCGCCAGCTCGACGTGCCGGCCCGCGCTCCGGCTCTCCGCCTCCCCGAGCCGCTGCTGCAGCTCGCGGGAGGCGGCCTCGCTCCTCGCCACCTCCCGCGCACGCGTGCACCGCCGCCGTGCCTGGCCAGGGCCCCCGCCTGGGCCCCGGCGCGGTGCACTCGCCCGCCCGGCCGAGGTCAGGGAGGGGGGCTGGCCCTGGCCGGGCGCGGCGGCGGTGCGCCAGGTGCCCTCTGCGGGCCTTCGGGTAGAGGCGGATCATGGCCTCGGGGGCGCGGCGGGCGGGCCGCGGGAGCGCAGCGGGCGTGCCAGCCGCGGGCCCGCGCCACCATCGGCCGCCTGCGGCCGCCGCCCTGCCGCCGCCCCCCGCCCCACCCGCGGGCGGTGCCCGCGCGCGCGCGGGCGGCTGCCGCCTGAGCTGAGGCGGCTGCGGACGGCGGGGGGCACTCACGCCATGGGGGGGGGCCAATGACACGCCCGTCGTCTTCCGAAGCGTGCGTGTGCCACGAGCCAGGCCGAAAGAGATCCTGAAGCCGATCAGAAGCCTGGGCCTCCAGAGGCCTCCCGAGGCCTGGAAGAACCAGAGACGCCCCAGTCCTCGACCTGCACCTGGGAGCCTCGATCGTCGGTCCTCGGGGCGTCCTGGTCTGGGAGGGCAGGGGCCTCCTTGGACGTCTCGAGCGGA